ATGTTATGTACAAAAGAAAATTTATCAAAATCGGTCCAGTGGTTTAGGAGCTAGGGTGTCGCGTCACAGACATACATCATTCAGGAGCCGCGACAACATTGCACGTCGACTTTTGTAGAGACAATTATGTATGACTAGCTGCTTCTGCGCGGTTTCACACGCTCTGCTCAGCTCCTATTGGTCGCATCAGCCTTCCTCGATAAATGCGCTATCTACCAAAAACATAATTATTCGAATCAGACAAGACAGAAACATTTTGCTTCGGGAGAAAAAACGAAATTGATTTAGCGGTGTAAGGTATACCTCTGTGTGTGTGTAACATAACATAACATCACGCCTTTTATCCCCGAAGGGATAGGCACAGGTGCACATTATGCCACTGTACAATGCAACACCCACTTTTCATTATTTATGTTATGAGTCCCATGTAATAGGGGGTGAGCCTATTGCCATATACCGGGCACAATTCCAGACTCCGTGTTACTACTGAGATTTTTATTAAAAACCCAGTAATACTTTGTCCGACCCGGGACTCGAACCCGAGACCCCTTGCCCGGCAGTCGCACTTCCGACCACTCGGCCAACGAGGCAGTCTGCGAGTGTAACATGTTTAAATTGTCATTAAATAGTGATAGAACACAGGACGTTTTATATGTCTAGGTTACACACCGAATCTCCCTTTCCTTTATTAAAAACGATCCCTACAATAACTACAGCGAAACAGCAAAGAAATACACTTAAGTGGTATTTTATATCAATTCACTGGCAACACTTGTGATGAATGTGTTGCCCGCTTTTAATATCTCTTTTTATTGCCTACCGACGGTTTGTGGAGCGCTCTCTTATTTTTCTATTTATTTTATTTTATTTATGTATTACTTAGACAATAGTTTTGTTAGTTTATTCGCTTGTTTTCGTTTCGTCAATATATGTGATAAGTTTGAGGACATTGAGGCTATAAAACTTAATTTGTTTAGTAGTGTCGCTTATTTGAATAGGGTAGATGACCAATTTTCATTTCAATATCCATTCTGGTAGATTATTTTAAAACATTACTCACGTGTTTTTTATTTTTTTCCAGAAAAGAATTTTAATATGTCGCGTGACGTCACTTCTAGGGCACTTCTAGGGCTGTTTTATAAGTAGAAATGACGTTTTACCTCCCACTTCTGAACTTTGAGTCGTTTTGTCTAAGTATTGTGTTCTTCATAAACATAACATCACGCCTTTTATCCCCGAAGGAGTAAGCAGAGGTGCACATTATGCCACTGTACAATGTAACACCCACTTTTCACTATTTTATGTTACGAGTCCCATGTAATAGGGGGTGAGCCTATTGCCATATACCAGGCACAATTCCAGACTCAGTGCTACGACTGAGATTCTTTTTAAAACCCAGTAATACTTTGCCCGACACTGGAATCGAAGCCGAGTCCCCTTGCCCGGCAGTCGCACTTGCGACCACTCGGCCAACGAGGCAGTCTTGTGTTCGTATATGACAAAATAATATTTTTTCATTACCTAACTGACGGACTAAATAGATTTTTAATTTTCATACCCTGTCATCATCCCTAATACTTGAGGCCTTATAGGGGTAAATAATACACAATAGTGTAGACGAATATGTTTGCAAATGACGGTCCAATTGAAATTATTAGTCCATGTTGGACAGGATGCAGTCCTCTTTACCAGACAGGCGAGTTGGAGATCGGTTTAAAAGGTTCAGGTTTATAGCCTAGCTTCACTGACGGACAGACTGACAGACTATTATTTATATTGTATTTGTTAACGTTTTAAAAGTACAAAATTATGGTTTAATTGAAATAAATGCTTTGACTTTGATCAGAGAGCGCTGTAGCCCGGTTTCTGACATATATCTACTTCCTGACTGACAAATACCTTAGGACCAATATCTTTAGATCTGTACAAGATAGACACGCTACAGAATCTAACTGTTTGGATAAGTTATTCATTTCGCTAAGTACGACACGCAAGACATGAATAAAGGGCTCTTATATCGTCACTATACAACTGAAATTAATGAAAAGACCCTTTAGCAGAAACAGTTGCAGAAAATATTCTCACAGAAAAGGTCCGTATCAAGCTAAAAAGTAGACATTTTTGTTTTTTTCTTTCCTTATTTTGTTGGAAATCGGGTAGGATCAATTATATACAGCCTGTATTGAGGAAATGCGAGAATTGTTGCAATTTTTTTCCTAGTAAGAAACGAGGAGAATACTATTCACGAAGGTTATGCGTAGACCCTTTCAAAGAATAGAATAAGTAGGTAGTTATACTATTTCGACTGCACGGTTGGTGCGGTGGCTGGGCAACCGGCTGCCGTGCAACGTGTCGCGGGTTAGACTCCCGCACGGAACAACACTTTGTGTGATCCACAAATTGTTGTTTCGGGTCTTTTTTTTTAAGGGGGGAAAATCATCGAATGACTGTTCCCGCCTGGGTGAGGCGGGAGGGAGTGTCAGACTCTTACTGACTAAAAACCACCCCGTTCCTTCTCCTGCACATCGAGCCGGAGCCCCGGTTACCCGTTAGGTTCTTTGTTTCGGGTCTAGGTGTCTTGTATGTTTGTAAACGCACCCACGACACAGGAGAAAATCCTAGTGTGGGGCAGAGTTTAAAAAAAAAAGACTATGACCTTATGAAGACAGAGCGATTATAATACAAGACTCCAAGAAGGTGGGTGATTCTAGAAAAATAAAACCGAAAATATTAACGGCGTCATTATCCTTAAGCCAAAGATAACAATTCTGCTGATTGAAGTACAAAGTTTAGTGTCAAAAAATTGAGCCATGTCACTGCTCTCATCCAATGCAATAAAATACAGATGCTAATAAGTTATTTTTATTTTTTTATTTATTTAACTTTATGCAACAAAAGTACATAGGCGGGCAATGCCATGGGCATTCTTACTAGCCAACCTTTAGGTGATGCAGTGAGAGCGTGGTCGGTGCAATAAGTTACTGCAATGCTTAACAACGCGGGAGGATAATGATTTGTTAAATAAAAGTTAAAATTTTTCGAAGAAACACCTAGGTAATTAGTAATCATTTTGAAAATCTTTCTCCGATTCAGGGTCTTCCGAAAACCACAAAAATCGGAAATCTATTTTAACACTCATGAATTCATATTCAGCCTCTAGTATGACTTGAAACTAGTCAAGTTCTTCGTCAAGTAATTATGTGTCTAACCCAACCACAAAAACTTAAGGGTATGTATTTCTCAGCTTCAGTTGTACATGTGGGTGAGCCTTCGGCACGAATGGGCCGGCTCGACCGGAGTGATACCACGGCCGAGCAAAAATCTATAGCGAAACAACGCTTGCATTGTGTTTCATCGTGTGAGTGAGGTTACCGGAGGCCCTATCACCCCCCTCCCTTCCCAATCTCCCTAATCCTTAAATCCCCGACCATCCACCAAAAACACCTAATCCCCAAAAGGCCGCTAACATAATTGTAACACCACTGGTGTTCCGGGTGTCCATGGCCAACGCCGATTGCTTACCAAGTACCATCAGGTGATCTCTTAGCTCGTTTACCGGCTTATACAAAAAACAGAATCTAGCACCCACTCAGCCAAGACTACCCAAGGTAAAACGGATTAAGATGTTAAATATCAAGATTCAAAATAGGCGAAGGTCTATTGTATTTTGAAAGTTTTGTAAGTGGGAGGGCAGAGGACAAAAGGAGACTTATCAATATTGGTGATCTTTCGGAAACCTTTGGATATATTTCGACGGGATTTGTCTTCGGATTGCAAGGGATTTGACCGGCTTTTGAGTGGAACGATGGAGTTTCAAATGATGGGCTGAGGTGCACATGTTAAATTTAATCTATGTTAATAATATTTTGCGACTGCCGAGCAAGGAAGATTCGGTGTGTAACCTAGACATATAAAACGTTCTGTGTTCTATCACTATTTAATGACAATTTAAACATGTTACACACGCACACTGCCTCGTTGGCCGAGTGGTCACAAGTGCGACTGCCGGGCAAGGGGTCTCGGGTTTGATTCCCGGGTCGGGCAATGTATTACTCGGCTTTTTCAAAAAATCTCAGTAGTAGCACGTAGTCTGGAATTGTACCCGGCAACAGTTTCACGCCTCACAGTTATATGTACTTTCTAAGATTATTTAGACACCACTGACAAACGGTGAAGGAAAACATCGTGAGGAAACCTGGGCTTATAATTTCTAATTATAAGTTTGTAATTACCAACCCGCACTGAGCAAGTGTTGTGATTAATGGTCAAACCTTCTCCGTGTGAGAAGAGGCTTTGCTCAGCAGTGGGCATTTATAGGCTGTTGATACAACTACAAGGCAAAATTAAACATTTACATGCGAAATATAAACTGTAGCGCACCCCAGATCTAAAATACTTGGGAATAACAAATCGTATATCAATAAATAGCAAGTTTTCAACGTATACGAACGTGCTCAGTAAATAGGAGTAGGCGACGCAGGACGCATTGTAATGGCCGACTTATTTCCCGCGCTTTTGCCCTCAAGTGTTGCCAACGTGTCGATAGTGTTGCGTTGTAAGAAAATTTTTGTATATTTAGGGAAAATATTATGTTCGGTGTTTTTTTTTAGGTAAAGGGGACTGAGTGGATTATATATATTAATAACGTTTTAGTAGCAGTATGTTGACAGTAAAGAAAAATATATTGGTCCC